CTACGAAAATATAGAACATACTGCCTATCATACACACGGCACACGACAGCCGAAATGAAAGTCAAGACTTGTATGAAGGATAAAGAGTTTCAACGAGAAAAAGTGGCGCATATAAATTTTCTGTTATGCGAATAACCTTAAACTTTCTATAATACGTACCATCAAATGATCTCAACGAAGAATTTTTCCTATTTGCTACGGCCACTCCGAAATTGTACCATCGCACAGGCAGAGTAGTGCGATTGCGCATAAAGGTGCTAGTGTGAGGTATAGTGCTTTTTGCGTATTTGATTTAAGTACATTAGTTTGCGAGGTTAGTGTTAGTAGATTTAAGTGGTATGGTTATGGGTAAACCCGTTTTTTTCTTTACCTTTGCTGGTTGCATGGTTATTACTGCTTTGCAGTTGCTATAGAATGAGAACGACATCAATATTGCGTAAGCTGTACCTGCAAGGATGATACTTTAAAAAGATGCGAATAATATTTTTTAGAATTGATTACCTTCGATCTTTTGTTTACTCACATTGGTGTTGTAGTAGTCAACAGACCCTGCCACTACACACAACGCAATCGTCAAAAGTAGAATAGACCTATGAGTGCAAAATTATCATCTAATATTAAAGTAAACTTGGAATGGAATCGGATGTGCAAATCTACCCAACAACATAAGACGCTGTAACATATTTGGGAATCTTGTCGTAGCCGTCGGATACGCGAACAATATATTCGCCAACGCGAGGCTCTGAAAGGGTTTGCGAAAATGGCTTCAAGAACTGTGACACTCATATGTCTTTGACAATGATTTAAATCCCTATTGATATTGGTTGTAGCAAAAGAGTAATGCAGTCGCTTAGGCGTTTGAGTCCATGGGCATGTGGTCATTCTCACGAGTAACATTAGTTGTTATCAACGCCACTAAATGGTAAAATTTCAACTGAAATCGAAGGAGATTTAAATTTGAGTAGTAGTTCTTACCCGTGCATTTGGAAGGTAATAAATGGATAAAATTAAGTCGATTGATGTGGCCT